AGGAGGTGCTCCAGTGCCCGGCGGGGATGGCGGAGAGTCGACGGCTCGTCCCTTTGAGCCAGCGGGAGATCGGATGGAAGCGAACTCTCCTCTCCCGTCGATACCCGAGGGTAGTGAAGTCGAAGGCTCAGAGGGTACCATGGAGTCGACCCCGTCAGAAGGCCGGGTCGAGTCCGCCGACAAGGACGAGAGACTGCCCCCCCCCCCCCCCCCCCCGGACTGCCCGAACCTCCTCGGTCCCGCCCACGCGTGAGCAGTGGGGGCAGCGCGCCCTCGGGACCCCCCTCCACGATTGGGTCAGTCAAGGTTGCCAGCTCGGCCGAAGAACCAGAAGCCCTGTCAACCCCACCTGGTCTTTCGAGCATCGCAGGTGGCGAGCGGGAGAGATTTCCGCGAGCAGCCCAGCGACCTGCCGGCAGCTCCACGTTCCGACACGCGCGACGGGCGGGCTCTCCCGTCCGCGGGCTACTGACCCGTGTAGTGGGTCCCGGGGTCACTCCGCTGGAGGACATGCCGCAGGTTTCCGTGCTGGAGCGAGTTCAGGAATGGGAAAATCAGAGGGATGGATCCGGTATCGCGAATGCCCAGTCCGGCGAGAGCCTCGGTCCCGGGTCCGAAGGGCTGGCTGAGAGCACTGACTACGACTGGGTGGAGCTTGGGAGTTTCGAAGGGGCCGATGATCAAGACCAGGGTCTGCTGTGTGAGCTGGAGACCTGGGGGCCGAGCCCCGAGTCCTGTCTCTCGTTCGCCACGGCAGGACCAAGCTCGGAAGGGCCCCGGCGCGGTCAGGAGGTCGTCTGGAAGAAGCTCAGCCCAGAAGAACGGGAAGAGTTCAAGAAGTCAGACGCCACCGAGTGGTCTGCCATGACAGCCAGCAGGGCCGTGAGGGCGGTCCCCCCGGAAGAAGCGGCCCTCGTTCGCAGGAGGGGCCCCTCTCGCATTCTCTCCTCGAGAATGGTTCGTCGGTGGAGGCCGCAGGAAGGCGCGGGAGCCAGCGCGAAGGCAAAGTCACGGTGGTGCGTGAGGGGGTGCGCCGACCCAGACGCTGAGTCCCTTCGCGTCTGCGCTCCGACCCCCCAGGAGGAGGCAGTGCTAGTCGCCCTCCAATGGAGACTTCAGATAGCTGGCCACAAGAATGCGTTTTGCCAAGCCGACCCCCTTTCCCGCCCCAACGGGAAGATATACGTCGAGCCCTGCGAACGGGGTAGATGTTCCTCGCGGGGCCCTCTTGGAATTAGTAGCCCGAGTCTACGGACTGAGCGACGCTCCTATCAGGTGGCATCAGACGCTGACCTCGCTTCTGAAGCCCATCGGGTTTCGGCGGTCCCTCCTGGAACCTTGTCTCTGGGTCTCTCGCCGTGCCTCGGGGGGTTTGAAGGCTCTCATCGTCGTAGAAGTTGACGGCCTAGTCATTGCGAGTGAACCGTCCTTCGAGGGTGAGCTCAAGAGGCTGCTGACCAGTCGTTTCTCATTCGGGAAATGGCAGATCGGCGAGGCCGAGTACGCTGGGAGGAGAATCAGGCAGCAGTCCGACGGGCGGATCCAGATCGACCAGGAGAAATACATACTAGAGCAGGTCAGAGCCATGCGAGTCGACAAGGAACGTGCTAAGTCACCCGGGGACCTTCTTGGCGACCGGGAACTCAGGGACTACCGAGGTCTCGTGGCCAAGATTCTCTGGGCGGCCCGTCAGTCTCGTCCCGACGTGTCCGGATCCGCCGCGATGCTGAGCGCCGAATGTCCGAGCGTCACCGTGGCCTCTGCTCTGATGGCCAACAAGGTCGCCCGCCACCTGCGTAGCACCGCCTGTTCATGTCTGACGATCTGGCCGTGGGACTTGAGCGCTGTGACCATGGTCGCCTGCAGTGACGCCGGGGGGCCCGGGTCCGCGAGGAAGGACGGCGCTCAAGGAGGATGGCTGGTGATGCTTGGGGATTCTCGGATGCAAGACAACCGTAGGTCCCGGGTGTCCCTCCTGTCGTGGAGAAGCCAGAGGCTTCGTCGGGTGGTTTCGTCTATGCTCTCGGCAGAGGCGTTGAGCCTGTTAGCTGCTCTCGCTGAGGGGCAGTGGCTTTGGCTTGTTTTCCGGGGTGCTTTGTGCGGGGATGTCCGGGGACCTGAGTGGTGGAATTCGGGGACGGCCTGCCCCTTCGCAGTGGCTCTGGTGGGCGAGTGTGCCATCGCCAAGGCTTCCGAGGGCGTCGCAGTGGTAGATGCGAAGTCGCTCTTCGACACGCTGTCGAAGAACAGCGGAGGAGCCGAGGCAGTTCGACGCAGCGCCATCGAGATGGCGATCGTCAGAGACGCCATGGCCGCCGAAGGCACCGTCGTGCGTTGGGTTCCCCATTGCAGGATGCCCGCAGACAGCATGACCAAGGTCGACCCAAGCCGGGGCAACTTTGCGTTGACCGACCTGATGCTCCGCGGGATGTTAGCTCTGATCGACGAGTCTGGTTCCCTGGACGAGCGCTCTCTCAATCGAGCGTTGAAGTCTCGGACCCGCACCGTGTCTCGAAGGGCGCTGCAGCTGGAAGGACCCAGAGGCGGAGGAGATCGAGGGGGCAGAAGGAGGAGGATCGCGCGCCGCCAGGACTGCCTGGCGAGAGCCCACGGAGGCGGAGGGAAGCCCGTGCCCAGTGCCCTCCGACCCGACCGGGGGGCCTCCGGGGACTCGGGGGGAAGGTGGAGGGGGGCGGGCTACGCTGCCAGGGCCCTCTCGGCCAGTTTCAAGGCAGGACCTCTTGGGGCACTAAAGTGGGGGGGCGCTGTCTTATAGATTCCCATCTCCCATGTCCGAAGAGGTCCCCATAGTTGTTTCGTGCGTTGTGCGTTGCACAGTCACGTTGCTGGGTGAATACATTCGAGGGTCTGCAACCGTCGTGGCTCAAGTGCGCGTGTTCAGGAAAAGGGCGGCGGGTGGGACACTGACCCGCTCTCGCGTCGCCGCCCGACCTCCTTCCGTTCCCTCTGGTCAGAGACGGCCGCTCACAACTCTTTGCGAGCAGCCCGCGGTAGTCTCGAACCTCCCGTCCCGTTCGTGGAGCAGCTTCTTCTGGTGTCCTGCTTTCGTGCGGTCCATCTTCATAGACCCAATCTGCTCGAGCACATACTTCTCTTGGTACACTAAGATTCGCCCGTCCGACATCTAACCGGTCCAGCGGCCAGCGTGGTCTACTTCCTTCACTTGTCACGTCCCGAAGCGGAATATGTTGACGAGCTGTTGCCAATGGGTCTTGTCGTAAAACTGAACACAAGTTATGATCAATTCGACCACTTCTAAACTGATCACGGCTTTCAGACTGCTCGAGGGGTCATGGGAGACCCACAAGCACGTATCGATAAGGCCCGCCGAGAATCCAATTTCTCAAGGTGGGCCGTCACTGAGAGGGTCTGACAGAACGCACTTTTATTGGCGATGAGAAGAAAACAAAGCGACTCGCACCACCTCTTCTTGAGGAATTGGCGCATAGGCCCGTGCGACGTCGCGCGAGGCTGCTCATTGTTTTTTACTTGTTGTGCTTCTCACCATCCTCGGCGACACGATCCGCGAGGGGTCCAGCTGGCGGACCGAGGCTGCCTCAGAAAGGTGGATGACTCTAACCGCGTCGGCCTGGGTTTGGGCTGACCGCTCGACCAAGTCCGATTCACTGAGCTGCTTGGTCTCCTCGGGGTTCAGGTGCTTCCAGATCGTCTCCTGACCTCTTGAAACTTGCGCCCGCCGTGGTTGGAGTCTTCCGCCCGCCCCCCGACGAAGGTGTCCGAGGTCGAGTGGTGCGCAGCCAGGCGTGCTTGATCTCTTCAAGGAGGGCCCGAGGCTGGTCGTCGGCCTCGGTCTCGCCGCCCTGGTAGAGGTCGAGCCAGAAGGCGCCAGAGTCGCTTTCCTGGCCCTTCTCGAGAACCCTCAGCCGAAGGGCCCTCCTTGAGCCTCCCATTGCCGCATGCGCTCGGACACTGGCGCGCTTCCACTGGACCTCCACGGGCGTCGCTCGCACATCTCGAGCCAGCAGCCCACGGAACGGGAACTTTGCTCGACGTGTGGGGACTCATCTGTACGCGGTCTGGCTCCTCCCTCCGCTCGCTCGTCTCCTGTGCTGGTCATCCGTGCGACGCCAGTCGTGGGGGCAAGGCTTCAGGGGCGAATCGCACTCCCCTGGGCCCCCTGGGGAGGCTCCCCTCGGGCAGGCCCCTGGCCCCCGTCCGCCCCGAAGGGACGCGGAGCGGGCCCGGAGGCAGCATCTCGCACTCGGCGCTTATTATTTGTGCGATGCCAGTCGCAACGCCTCCTTCCTCCCCCCCTCGCTTTTTCGACTGGCGCAGCTTGCAGCACCACGCCTCGGAGTTTTAGTGCTTTTGATGGCGACTCTCCCCCCTCCCAGTCTGACGTCCCTCCCCTGGAAGGTTGGACCGCCGCCCAGCGGCCAAACCATTTTTGCTTGCTCTCTTCTCCTCCACCTCACCGCCCGCCTACTATACTGGACACTCCCAGCCAGATCGCCCTTGTTCTGGCTTAGTGTTCTCCTGGGCCTATCTGCTGCTCGCTCCATGGCGCCCAACCGGCCCATTTCCGTCCCGATTTAGCTTTGCACTGTACTTCAGCTCCTCTTCCTCCAGCATTGCCAATACCTTCTGGTGTTGCGATTGGCTGTGTCAGAGGCGACAAACGCTAGTACGATTTGGTAGTTGGGGCTTTGGGCCCGCCTGTGCGCACCTGGCGCTTACATACGCCAAGCTGTGGCATACGACAGTCTCAAGTCGGAAGCCTCCCCTCTTCCCCTCTTCTCCTCCTGTCTTCCTCCCTTCCCCTCTCCACCGCCGCCTCCTCCACCACCTCCCTCCGCCTCCTCCTCCCTCGTGTGCCCGATCGCTTCACGCCAGAAAGAGGGAGAGAGAGAGAGAGAGAGAAACAGAGAGAGAGAGGGCGAGAACGAGAGAGAGAGAGAGGGAGCAAGAAAGTGCGAGAGAGAGAGAGAACACACAGATATAGTAACCTCTGCCTCCAGCGGCTGGGCCTGTCGCAGCGACGCCGGGGCAGGCAGCGGGACAGGCAGACGATGGGGCTCATGGAGGGCGCCATGAGGAGGACTTCGCCTGGTTCTATCTGCTGGGTTCCAAGTCCTTCTCCTCCTCCGTTCTTCCTTCTCCTCCCCTTCCTCCTCCTCTTTCTTCTCATCCTCCTCCTCCTCTTCCTACTCCTCGTCCTCCTCCTCCTCCTCATGCCTCCTCCTCCTCCTTCCCCTCCTCTTCGCCCTCGTCCTCCTCCTCCTCGTCCTTCTTCTCCTCCTCCTCTTCCTCCTCCTGACTCCCCTACGCTCGTCTCCTTGTCGTCGTCCTCCTCCTCCTCTCCCCTCCGCGCGCAGACGTGGATATATTAGGCATCGTGACGTGCTTAAGTTGCGAGTGAGCGAGATCACTCAGCAACCTTCTATCTCCCAGTGATCGAGATCACCCAGACCACCCAGCAACCTTTGTTATACTAGCCTTCTTCTTTACAATATGCACCGCATTGGACTTGGATCTCTTCGAGTACGCGCTAATATGTGCAGCACTGTTGGTTTTTGGCAGTCGGCTACCCAGCAAGCAGGTTACGCATCCGAGTTCTGAGGGGAACTCATCATTCAGCGGTCATGGTGAAGCATCTGCCTGGTAACCTGAGTTCTTTTTTACATGCGTCACACTATTGTACGCAGCTCCCGGACTACAAGCAGTAGGGTCGGCAAACTTCGACACTGGGGTATAAGCTTGGCGTGCTACTAAAGGAAGCCTTTAGACACTTGGCTGTTCATCCGTACTCTAATCTCGCATGGAGCAGCTGCATAACATATTTGCCCACCTGCTGGCCAGACAACGTGTGCCCTGTTGCGTGACCAACATAACGTGAATTACTCCGACGGAAAGACCCCGCATGATAATCCTCTCGGCTAATCAGGAAAAAGCCCTCGCCGTCGGCCTCGTGATTGGTGAGGCATCCTTACTGTTCCTTCTGCGTATCTTTATTTTCGCCCTGGCGCAGGCCCTCCTCCCGCTCGCTTCGTTTCCCCCATCCTAGCCCTCCTGTTTTTCGCGCCCCGCCACCCTCCCCTTTCTATTGCACGAGCGCGCATATCGATGTCCTCGGCGCCGTCGCTGCCTCGGCCAGCACGGGCGCGTTCTCTAATTGCCACGCCGCGCAGCCGTTGGGACAACCTCGCGGGCCAGGGCGTCGGGGCAACCGCGCGAGCCGCTGGCGCGCAAGACCAAGCCGTTGGGACAACCCCGCGGGCTTCGAGCGGGGCGCAGCCGCGCCCAGGCGGGAGGCAGCATGAAGCTCAGCTCTGCCGCGAGCTGTCCCGCCTCCGCCCTGGACCACTCCGCTCTCTTGTCGAACTCTTCGAGCGCCTTCCGCAAAGACGCTGGCGGCCCTCGCTCCAGGAGCTCTCGCGGCGGTGGCCGCAGGATCAGCATGTTCCGCATGCACGTGGCGCGGGAGAGCATGACGTAGACGTGCAGCCACCACTGCTCGTCCGACATGCCCGTGCGGCCAGCGTCCTCGTCTCTCGTGCAGTCGATGGTGGCGCCCTTGCGCAGCGTTTGACCCTGCGACAGCGTGGGGGTCAGGTAGGACGCGTGCGTCAGGGTGAACCCCGAGCGGCGCGCGGTGTGCGGCCCCGAGCTCAGCCAGTTGAACTTCTGCTCGCTGGGCCTGAGCATCAGGAAGCTCCGCGCCCGCGCCTCGGCCTGGCCGTCGTCGTCGGCGTCTTCGGCGCCCTGTCGCAACACCTCGGCGATTTCCTGGTAGATCGGAGACTCCTTTAAGCCGTGCGCCTGCAGCCAGATCCGCTCCGGTAGGAAGCGGGGGCGAAAGAACTGGCCAGCCGAGCACTCCTCGTACCGCTGCTCTTCCTCGTGGTGGAACCCGAAGGACACGATGGTGGCCCGTTGCCCCTGCACGAGTCCTAATTTCTTCTTCAGCTCTTCCTGCACGGCCGTGAACCGCACCTCCATGCCGACATGGGCCGGCAAGGCGCCGTGGATGTCCCCCGTCTTGTGCATTTTCGGGACGTTCAGGAGGTACCGACCCGCGTCGGGATCGCCCCGAATCGCCGACCAGACGACGACAACGACGACGACGACGACAACGACGACGGCAACGACTCCACCTCCTCCTTCTCCTGTTCCTCCTCCTCTGGGGGCCTAGGGGCTGTTCGGGTTTGTTGGGATTTCGGTGAAGCCCCGGACCGACATGGCGGGAGGGAGGGAGGGAGGGGGCTCCCGCTTGAGATCCCCTTACAAGTCTCTCACAGACGAGGTTCTCGCTTGATACTTCCTCCCAATTCGGGTCAGAGGAAGCCAGAAGTGACGACAATTACAGGAATTTGCTGGCCCGCTCGTATGAATAACTTGATCTGCAGGCCCCTTAGGGAGGGGGTTCCCGCGTGAGATTTCTTCACGATTCACTCACCGACGCGACTCCCGCGTGATATTTCCCCCAAGTTCAAGCCAGAGGAGGCCAACATTGACGACAGCTACAAGAATTTGATGGCCCGCTCGGAGTAATAACGTGATCTGCGGGCCCCTTAGGGAGGGGGCTCCCGCCTGATATTTCTTCACAATTCGCTCACTGATGAGGCTCCCGCCTGATACATTCCTGAAATTCAGGCCGGAAGCCAGAAGTGACGACAGTTATTAGAATTGGATGACCCGCTCGAATTAGTAACATGATTCGAGGGCCCCTTAGGGAGGGGGCTCCCGCGTGAGACTTCCTCACAATTCACTCACAAACGAGGCTCCCGCCTGATAATTCCTCCATGTTCAGGCCTGAGGAACCCAAAAGTGAGGACCGTAATTGGTTTGCCTAGAGGATTCATGTGAATGCCACGAAATGATATTTGAGTGAGTGGCGATGATGCTGTTGATGATGATGTGATGCTGATGATGGTGAAGGATCGATTGATGATGGTGGAGGTGATGATGAAAATGATGATTATGAGTGGTGGTGATGACGAGTGCTGATGATGACGAGTGCTGGCGTCGCGGTGTTGACAATGACGGTGCTGATGATGAGTGAGTGATCGAGTGAGTGAGTGAATGTCTGAGTGAGTGAGTGAGTGAGTGTGTGGGTTTTTGTTCCTGCGCAGGGTGTCTGGAGAAACCCCACTTTGGATGTGGGAGCAGCATAGCATAGCATGCAGGACCAGGGTGCGCGACGATCGGAATCCTAGAGATCTCTAGGGAGGTTCATACCTTCTAACCCTTTGCATGTTGGAGCACGCACCAGGACTTGTCGGGCCCGCTCAGGAGGGAGGCGGCTCCTCCCATCGCGAACAACAAGGACCCTGTGCCCGCAGGTCCTCCAACAGCAGCCTCGTCTCCATGCTCCGTGCGGCCAGGCAACCAACCCGTCTCCATCGTCCTCCCCCCACTCCTCCTCCTCCTCCTCCTCCTCCTCCTCCTCCTCCTCCTCAATCGCCTACCCTCCTTCTCCCCTCTCTCTTCCCCATCGCCTCCCCCTCTCCTGCGTGGGGTCCATATTGAGCAGCGTCTTGTTTTCGTCAGCTTAACATGGCAGCCCCGTCCACGTACCATCAGGTAAACGACCAGCGAGTACGTGCGCACACACACACATACACATACACATCCATATACGCATGTTTGTACATCTGTATGGTTGTACACATCTATACAGACTCATCGATATATATACATATATATATATATGTATGCACATACATATTTACATATCTATGCGAACATGTGTATGCGTGTACACATGTGCATCCAATATTACATATGGACTCGAGAGGCGTCCTAGGAGCCTTCTTGGCCAGGCATGGGACCCTCCTGGGCCATCTCTGGGCGCTCTCGGGGGCCTCTTCGCTTTTCTCGGGCGGGTCGGGGGGGCTTCTCGGGTCGTCTCGGGCTTTCATGATCTTGGAAAGGCGAGAACGCGAGAGTCTGTCAGAACCCTGAGGAGAATCAATTCTTTTTTCTCCTGAGGGTGTCTCGTGCGTCCTCTTGGCGCCCTCTTTGGGCGTCGTCGGGGCCTCTTGGGCCGTCATGAGACCATCTGAGATGCTCTTGGGGCCTCTCCGGCGCGTTGGAGCCCTCCTTGAGCCATCTTAGGACCTTGGGCGCCGCAGAGGGTGGATTTGGAGGCTCCGAGGGCCCAGGATGTGCGCCGGGGGAGCTCCTTCACCCCCCCCCCTCTCAAGGGGTCTTGAAATTTGAAAGGGGGAAGGGGGTCATCCAGATGTTGCGCACGCCTGTTCATCCCCAGCAAGTGGGGGTTAGCGGACATGTTCCGGTTGCTGCTCCTCCCTGCTCTCTCTTCCCTCCTTTTTTGTTCTCTCTTTTCCTCTCTTCCTCTGGTTCACTTTTTGGGGGGGGGACCCTCCAGGAGGGGAGGACCGAGGAGGAGGGGGATCAAAGAGGAGGAGGAGGCGGCGGAGGAGGACCAAGGAAAAGGAGGAGGAGGAGGAGCGAGGAGCGAGGAGCGAGGAGGAGGAGGACGAGGAGGATCGAGGAGGATCGAGGAGGATCGAGGAGGATCTAGAAGGAGGAGGAGGACCGAGAAGGAGGAGGAGGAGGACCGAGGAGGAGGAGGAGAAGGACCTCCCTCTCGCTCTCTCTCTCTCTCTCTCTTTCTCCTTCTTGTTCCTCTCGCCTCGCTCCTCCTGCCCCCTCCTCCTTCCTCGCTCTGCCCCTCCTCCGCGCCAGGAGGACACGCCAGATGCACGCAGGACTCCGTGCCGTGGTCACGCCTGCGGCTCCGAGCAGAGAGGGGGCCCAGCTCAGCGGAGGCGTCACGCCTACTGCGTCGTGCCCTCGGCAGGCCATCGGGGGGAGGAGGAGGGGGAGGGACGAGGATCAGGATGCTGGCTGCCGCCTGCCCGCTGCTGCCTTCGCTGCTGGCTTGGGCCGCCGCCGCTTGCTCTCGCTCGTCGCTCGCTCAGTCGCGCGCCCCTGGGTGCGCCCCGCCGCGCCCGCTGCGGTCGGGCGCTTCGGCGGGTGAAGGTACGCTCGTGGAGCGCGGAACGCAGTAGCGCAGGCTGATAGCGAGGAGAAGCAGGAGGAGCACCAGGGGGATGCGGCCGAGAAGGCGGCTGAGAAGGATGAGCACGAGAAGGGGTGGTAAATATGTGATGACGGTTCTGATCATGTTGATGACGATGATGACGATGACGAAGCCGATGAAGGCGATGATGACGATGATGAGGATGGTGATGATGATGATAATGATAATGAGGGTGGTGCTTGGGATCCGTATGGTGACGACGACGGCGACGATGGTTAGTCTGATCATGATGATGGTGGTGGCGATGACGATGGCGATGCTGATAATGATGATGACGACGGTGACGATACTAATGGCGATGACGATGCTGATGCTGATGCGGCTGCGGATGATGATGGCGATAATGATGATGATGATGATGATGATGATGATGATGATGATGATGATGATGATGATGATGATGATGCTGGTGCTGATGCTGATGATGATGATGATGATGATGATGATGATGATGATGATGATGATGATGATGATGATGATGATGATGATGATGATGATGATGATGATGATGATGATGATGATGATGATGATGATGATGATGATGATGATGATGATGATGATGATGATGATGATGCTGATGATGATGATGATGATGATGATGCTGACGAGGTTGCTGATGCTTATGCTGCGTATCATGATGATGGTGGCTCTGATTGTTTGGTGGTATGAGGTGGTCGTGGTATTACTGTTACTGAAGACGAGGAGGGCGACGAACAATCGTATGGCTTTGAAGATGCTGAGGACGCTGATGATACAGGTGCTGTCGTTGTTGTTGCTGCTGTTGCTGATGGTTTTTCATTTCGACAGTACGATTATGGTTGGCCCCCCTGCCAGGTGCCCATGGTGTTTGTCAATCAAAGTGCCTCACCCGGGGCTTGCACCCTGTTCCCAAATAGTGCCTGCACTTATGTGCTCTTGCTTGCCTTCTGAAGAACTTGGCCGTGTGGGCGGTCTGGCAGCTATGCTCCCGCCGTCGCCGCCCCGCCCCGCCTCATCGCCGCCCGTCGTTTAGGCAGTGTGGGCGGTCTGGCGGCTATGTTCCCGCCGTCGCCGCTCCGTCGCCACCTCGTCGCCGCCCGTCGTCTGGGCCGTATGGGCGGTCTGGCGGGGATGCTCCCGTCGTCGCCGCTCCGGGGCCGCCTCGTCCTGCCCGTCGTTTAGGCCGTGTGGGCGGTCTGGTGGCTATGTTCCCGCCGTCGCCGCCCTGCCGACGCCTCATCGCCGCCCGTCGCCTGGGCCGTGTGGGCGGTCTGGCGGCTAAGTTCCCGCGGTCGCCGCCCCGCCGCCGCCTCATCGCCGCCCATCGTCTGGGCCCATTTTCGGAAACGGGTCCGTCGGCCAGTTTAGCTCGCATTCCCGTCGTAGGAGATGCGGCTCGGCGATTGTGGTGATGCGTCAGAATCTCTTGTAGCCACTGCCGTGGCTGCCGCTGTGTGAGGTGGCCCAGGTACTCGTAGGCAGGAGGCAGGCTGTCCCTCGGGCCCAGCTGCAGGCCTTCTGTCTTGCGCTAGAGCACTCGTCTGGGCCGATTTGCTACGTCACAGACTGCAGGAGTTTAGTTTCCGACTGGCATGGTGGCCGCTGCACATTCCCCAGGGGACCAAACTGAGACCTGTTGACGCGTGCTGCCAAGGCGCTTGCTAGTCGGGGCCCTGGGGATGTTTCTCTGATCTGGACTCTTCGCATTCGGAGGATGCGCTGCAGTCAGTCACTTCACCTTTTGATATGTTTCTGTGTCAGGGCAACGCCAGTGCCGACGTACATGCGGGGTTTGTGGCCCAGTGGGCCTGGGACTGGTGTGTTGTTTCCCCCGTTCCTCGGACCGACCTGTAGGACACGACGGCGGCACTGGTGAGAACGCGGGCCCGACGGGCATTGTTGCAAGCGCTCGAGGTGGAACCTTGGGTCGGTGTTCGCCCGCCTGCCGTGCCCAGAGGCCGCTTGCCCACGAAATTCGATCAGGCTCTGAGCGTCAGTGCGCACAAGTTTGGGCCCTTCGCAGGGTGTTGGCGCTGCGTAGGGTACAAGCAGATCGTCCCGAGGAGCCAAGTGCTCGCTGTCGCCTCGACCCTGTGTGTTCCTCCTTTGCCGCCGCCGCTGGACTCGGCTCAGACGCAAGGATTGTTGCCTGAGTTCTGTGAGGGCTTCGAGGCGATCTCGGGTGAGGCGTGGGTAGGCTCGGTGCGTCTCCATGCCAGCCACCGCCTCGCCAAGATGAGGGCCTGTGGACTCACCTTTTGCCAAGTTTGTGGGTTCACGGCCACGTCGGACGGCCGACGGCTATAGAATGCATGTTCCCCCCTTACGAGTAAAGGGGGGCAAAATCTGAAGAGAATTCGGCGTGGGCTCTTTCCCTCGTATCGGGGCCCACCTGCGGCCTGGATGGAAGCCATGGCCCTTGATGCCGTTGCGCGTGGCCTTCCCCCACACCGCCTGGACCACTTGGGTGAGGTTCGTGGGGTGAGCGAGGGCCAGCCTGAAGTGCTGGACGAGTATGTGGGGCGGTCGAGTGACCGCCCGCCCTTGGAGCTGGCGGCCGTCATGCCGCTCGCCGAAGACCGCCCCCGCCTCGCCCCACCCGTGGGCCAGGAGGCGAAGGCGGCTGCCGCTGCTGCTGCCGCCGCTATGCACTTCTGGAGGAGTAAGGCCGAGCGACTCAGAGGGGATCCTTGTGGGGGGTCTCGTGTGCAGGAGTCGCTCGGCGCTGACTCGAGTGGTGACAGTGATTGAAACCCACGTGAGTAGGTCCGCAGCATAATCCAGTAGAGGCGTCGTCGTCATCGTCGTCGTCGCGTTATCATCGCCGTCGCCGTCGTCGTCGTCGCCGTCGTCGTTGCGTCGTCGTCGTTGCGTCGTCGTCGTTGCGGCGTCGTCGTCGTCGTCCTCCTCCTCCTCCTCCTTCTCCTTCTCCTCGTCGTCCTTCTCCTCCTCCCCCCTTGTCTTCCCTCCTCCTTCTTCCTCCTCGTCTTCTTCCTCCCCTCTCCGAGGCCCAGAAGCTCTTCCGATCAAGGTCTTTCTCAAACATGCCCAGAGGCCTCCCTCTAGAGGCCCTGAAGCCCTCCAGCTCAGCTTTGACGCGTCTCCCAGGGGTCTTCAAGTTTGCCACAGGGGCTCTGAAGCTTCTCTGAGAGGCTCTGGGGGTTTTCCAAGGAGCTCGAGGCTCTCCAAGGGGCGCCGGTGGCTCTCCCAGGGGTCTCGAGGCCTCTCCCAGCGGTTTGCGGCCACCTGGGCGTGGTGACACCTAGGAGTAAGGCGTGGGCAGAGCGATCGCGCAGGCGATGGACCATCCAGACTGGAGATGTTGAAGTGCCTCGGAAGTCAAGACCTCCTCGGGCGGGAGAATTGGTTAACGGAATATCGGGCCCCTCGCGCCAGAAGATCCTCAATGAGGGGGAGGATGCCATGATGGATGCGTGCTGCATACAAAATCAAACGTAGAGCATTCGGATAAAACAATTGTTGTTGCCGTTGACGCAACCCCGATTACGGCCCCGTGCGTTCCCCCTTCTCCCCCTGCGACGCGACGCCGTAGGCTCCTTCCTGGGGGGGGGCCTTTCGCCCCCCCCCAACCTAAAAGGGGGGGCCTGCGGCGTCACGTCGCGTCGCGGGGGGGAGGGGGGGAAGGGCAGATTGGCGTGGGCCTGAGGAGTCGAAGGGATTCTGAGAATTCCAAGTTGCCCCTAAGGATTCCCATGGATTCCTGAGGACCTCGATGCATTCCTGAAGGATTCCTGAGGATTCCTGGAGCCTTTTTGGGCTGGTCTGGGGGGCCTTTCGGTCTGTCTTGGAACTCTCGGAGCCAGAAACTGCGAAAACGCAAACATCTTTCAAACACATGTGAGCCAGTTTGGGTCAGAACGAGTGAGTGATTGCATGGTGGATGTGGGAGCTCTGCGAGCTGCTAGCTATGTGTTGTACTGTAGGCAATGGGTGTGCGCTAAATGATGTAAACTATGTTATGTTATGTACGCTGTGTCGTGTGGGCAATGTGGTAGACTATGCGATGTGGCCTGTGTGGTGTGAGCCATGTGGTGTAAGCTGCGGTGGAAGCTACTCGGCGTGAGCTATGTCGCGTAAGGTGTGCTACTCGCCCAGGGCTCGGGCCGCCCACGAGGCGCCCACGGGCGGGCACCTGGCGGCACCCTTGGCGGACCCACCCATGGCAGGGGGCGCTCACGAGCGCCCGCGAGGTGCCCACGGGCGGGCACCTTGCGAGAACTCGGCGGACCCACCCCAGGGCACGTCGCCGGCGGACCCACCCAGGGCGCCAGGCGCCCACGAGCGCTCACGAGGCGACCACGGGCTGGCACCAAGCGAAGCCTCCGCGGACCCGCCCAGGGAACGGGGCGCCCGCGAGCGCCCACGAGGCGCCCACGGGCGGGCACCAGGCGAAACTTCGGCGGACCCACTCAGGGCACGGGGGCGCCCGTGAGCGCTCACGAGCGCCCACGAGCGCCCACGGTCGGGAGCGTTGAAAATCCTCGGTGGGCCCGTCCAGGTATTTAAGTGGGCAAGCAAGAACCGCTTAGCGCGAGCCCTGGTTTTGGGAATCGGATGATGATGCTGAATCTTCCGATGATGCTGCTGATGCTGATGCTGATGATGATGCTGCTGAGTATGATGATGGCGACTGCGATGGTAGCTATCATGCACCAATCGGCGATGATGGCGACGCTGCTGGCGACGAGGATGATGGTGATTATCATTCAGATGCGTATCGTCATGATGGTGTTCCAATGCGGCTGCTGGTGATGTTGATGCTGATGATGATGCTGATGATGCTGATGATGATGATTCTGATGATGCTGATGCTGCTGATGGTGGTGATGTTGATGATGCTGATCATCATGCTACTGATGATGGCGATGATGATGCTGATGATGCTGATACTGATGGTGATGGTGATGATGATGATGCTGCTGATGATGATGATGATGATGATGATACTGATGATGCTGATGATGATTATGGTGATGATGATGCTGATGGTGATGATGATGATGCTGATGATGATGATGCTGATGATGATGATGATGATGGTGATGATGATGATGATGATGCTGCTGCTGATGATTTTGATGATGATGGTGATGCTGATAATGATAACCAGAGTAGAGTAGGCCAGAGTAAGCTAGAGTAGAGAAGAGTCAATGAGTAGAATGGAGGAGGAGAGGAGCGTACAGCAGAGTAGATCAGCGTAGCGTAGACACACATAGGCGTAGAGTATATTAGAGTAGAGTAGAGTAGAGTAGGGTCTGGTAGGGTAGGGTAGAGTCGAGAGTACAGCATAGTAGGACCGTGTAGGGTAGAGTAGAGTAGGAGTAGAGTAGAGTAGAGTAGAGTAGGATACATGGTAGAGCAGACCCGGGCATACTAGAGCAGAGTAGAGCATGTCAGAGTGGAGTAGAACAATGAAGTAGAGTAGAGGAGTCAAGTAGGGGTATAGTAGAACCGAGTAGAGCCGAGTAGAGTATGGTAGATGGTAGAGTGAAATCGGGTATACTAGAGTCGATCATGGTAGAGTAGAGTGGAGTAGAGTCAACCGCAGTCCAGTCTACTGCAGTCCACTCCATTTCAGTCTTCTTGCTGATCTCGGAGTCTGGGCTTGCTGATATTCTCAACGATGCTACTGCTGCTGCTGCTGCTGCTGCTGATGATGATTTTGATGATGCTGCTGCTGCTAATGATGATGATGATGCTGATGATGATGCTGATGATGATGATGATGATGCTGATGATGATGATGATGATAGTGATGATGATGATGATGATGATGATGATGATGGTGATGATGATGATGATGATGATGATGATGATGATGATGATGATGATGATGACGGCGTCACGCATGACTATGACGGTCGGTCGGTGACAGCTGTGATTCAGGTGACGGGGGAGGGCGACTCGGCTAAGGATGGTTATGTGAGGAGTAGCGAATGGTATGTATGTGTAGTGGTGATGGAGGTGCTAGTGATAATGACGATGATGACGATGCCGACGATGATGATGCTGATGATGCTGCTGATGATGATGATGATGATGATGATGATGATGATGATGATGATGATGGTGGTGGTGGTGGTGATGCTGCTGATGATGATGATGCTGCCGATGCTGATGCTGATTATGATGCTGCTGATGCTGCTGCTGCTGCTGATGCTTATGATGATGACGATGAGGATGATGATACTAGTGATACTCATGCTGCTGCTGATGGTGATGATGATAATGATGACGATGGTGATGATGGTGGTGGTGGTGGCGGTGATGCTGCTGCTGATGATGGAAATTATGGTGATGGTGGTGGCGGGGATTATGAAGATGATGATGATGCTGATGGTCATGATGATGAAGATGATGATGATGATGATGCTGATGATGATGGCGATGATGATGCTGATGATGCTGATACTGATGGTGATGGTGATGATGATGCTGATGTTGCTGATGATGCTGATGCTGATGCTGATGCTGATGCTAATGCTGCTGCTGCTGCTGATGATGATGATGATGATGAGGAGGATGATGATGATGATGAGGATGATGATGATGATGATGATGATGATAATGATGATGATGATGATGATGATGATGATGATGATGATGATGATGATGATGATGATGATGATGATGATGATGATGATGATGATGATGATGATGATGATGATGATGATGATGATGATGACCAAGAGGCGGAGGAGGGGGAGGAGGATGAGGAGGCGGAGGAGGAGGAGGAGGAGGAGTAGGAGAGAGAGGAGGCAGAGGAGGCAGAGGAGACAGAGGGAGGAGGAGGAGGAGGAGGAGGAGGAGGAGGAGGAGAAGGAGGAGGAGAAGGGGGAGGAGGCGGTGGAGGAGGATATCGGTGGATCAGGATGACGGCTACCATGACAATGAGTAACAGATGAAGGAGAGGACGAGATGATGAGGAGGAGGAGGACGAAAGGGAGGAGGAAGAGGTGGAGGAGGAGGAGGAGGAGGAGGAGGAGGAGGAGGAGGAGGAGAGGAGGAGGAGGAGGGAGGAGGAGGAGGAATTGGAGGAGGAGGAGTTGGAGGAGGAGTTGGAGGAGGAGGAGGAGGAAACGGGATGAGGAAGAGGGCGATGCCGTCTCATGGTTTGCAGGAGGGTTTGGATGGGGGGAGCCAGCAGCAACGTGCAGAGAGCCCCCAGTCTTGTCTGTTTTTCAGACCGGTCCTTCGCTACCGTGGAGCAGGCATGGCCCAGGGGAAGCCCCAGAGGAGACGACCGCAGCGGCAGAGTTAGTCCAGGCCTGCGCGCCCGAGTCTCGGAGGACGTGTGGGATTTCCTTCCCCCCTCCCTCCCTCCCTACGTCCCATTCTCCCTCCCTCTTCTCCTTCTCTCTTCTACTCCTCCTCACCTCCTCCGCCTCCTTTCTTGTCCTCCTGCTCTCCCGAAGGCGGAGCTCACCTCGAAGACGGACGACCTGTCGCAGCCACGTGCAGGAGACAGCAGGCGTCGCGGGCGGGATCACAATGGCCGGATCACAATGGCGGGGGAAGGTGGGCGGCGTCCCCGTGCCAAGCGCGCTGAAGGCGCCGTACCCAGCGCGCGGGGAGCGGCCCGGAGCCAGCGCACGGCGGCGGCGTACCAAGCGCCCAGGGGCTCTGGAACCTGGGCGCGGCGGGCCCAGCGCCCGCGGCGGCCCCGTACCCCGTGCGAGGGCGGCCGCACCCCCAGCGCAAGGGTGGCCGCACCCCCAGCGCGAGACGGCCCTGCACTCAGCGCGCGGCGGGCCGCACACCCCGAGAACGGGGCCCGCGTACCCGGCGGACGGGATACTGCGGCAGGTGTTCTGGGGGAGCGCGCTGGCTTCGACACCTTCCCCGTACTGCTGCAGCACACGCGCGGAAGAGCTTCAGGCTCTCAGCGTGCTCCGCCGCCCGCGGCTTCCTCGCCCCCTCTCGCGTTCTTCCCGCTCCTGTCTGTGCCGGATGAAAGCCCCGCAGTGACCCTCGGTTGCCTCCGAACGCGGCTTGGTGCCAGGCCGCTGCGACAAAACAGTAAAAGGGTTCGGGGGAGGGCGCCGATTGCAGCCAGACCCAGGGCCCCCAACGTCGGTTCGAGTGCTGCACGCAGGTAGCAGGGGAGCGTGAGGATAGATTGTGCCGGGCGGGACGGGATCTGGTGCGACGGTAGGAGGGGGGGAATCGATGGGAGAGGGGGGGTGCGATTTTGAGTGAGGACCCCTGGGCTCAAGGTTTCTAGGTTGTTCAGAGGTGACGCGCTTCTCCCTCTGGGAACCAGTCGTGGCCGCGTGACGCGAAGCGATGCTTGATATGAGCATGCAGAACCTATCATGTGGCTGCCTGGGCCCCTGAACCGGGACACCCTCCTGGAGTTCCCCACACCGCTTGGCCACATGAATTCTTGACCTGTTCCGTGGCCTTCCAGGCCCCCCCCCGGGCCGCTCAAAACAGCTCCGCGCGGCACGAACAAGCGATTAGAGGGGCCCAACAGTGCTCAAAATTACCAAGACGGCTCGAGACGGCCGAAACGGCTCTCCAGACGGGCCCATGGGACTCGAAATGGACGGGCCGAGGGGACTCAAGAAGGGCCCACGTTTGCCCAAATGGAGCCCAATCTGGCCCATGAGAGCCACTTGATGCTTTAAAACGACTCTCAGAGGGGCTCAAGAGGCTCCGACAGGGCTTTGAGACAGTCCAATCTGAGCCTAAGATGGTACCCTTGCCGCCTCAGAGACCCCCGCGACGGCCAAGAGCGGCCCCTGGTGGCCTTACAAGGCCCGAAGATGGTTCAACAGCTCCCAAGATGGCTCCTTCCATCCCAGCAGGCTCACAGACAATCCAAACACGGCAGCAGGAAACCAGACATGTTGTGTGTATGTATGTACGTACGTATGCACGCATGCATGCATGCATGCATGCATGCATGTATGTATGTTTATATGTATGTATGTATGCATGTAGGTATGTATACATGTATGCATGCATGCATACCTTACATACGCATATATGTATGTATGCGTGTATGTATGTATGTATGCATGCATGCATGCATGTTTGTATGCATATATATATATATGTGCACCTACGTATGTATGTAGGGATGTGCCTTGCATGTATGTATGTGTATGCATGTATGTATGTATGTATGTATGTATGTATGTATGTTTGTATACATGTGCGTGTACTTGTGTGTCTGTTTGTTTGTATGCATATGTGCATCTATGTGTGCATGTAGGTATACATTGTTGCATGCACGCCTTCATGCATGCATGCATGTATATGTGTAGATATGCATGCATGACTGCATGTATCAATGCATTCATGTATGTATGTCTGTGTGTATGTATGTATACACGCATGATTGTAGGCGTGCGTGCACGTATGTATGCATGCATGTATGCATTCACATATGCATGCATGTCTGTGTGCACGTGTGTATACATGCATGTATGCATGCATGCATGCATGCATGCACACATGTTCGCATGTCGTATTTCTGCAGGTACGCATGCAGGTATAATGCCTGCATGCGTGAATGTGTGTAGACATGTAGGTATGTATGTATGTACGTGTGTGTATGTGCACCACCATCCTGTTGCCGTTGCCCTTTTCGCTGTTGTACTGGCTGGTCGTCTGCAGCAACTCAGATCCGAGAGGTATAGGATAAAAGGACCGAGCCGGCTTGCGCGCGCACGTGGGGTCGTCCCCCCATCGTTGTCGTGTCGTCGGCCGGCCGGCCTCTTTCTTACCACACATATCTCTTTTATCCGATTAACGGAACATTCCTTCCTTGCCATGGCTTCGGCGGAGCCCTTTGAGCTTCCCTCGCGGAATTTACCTTCAGGTGTAATCGAGACTACATCGGAACATATTGCAGGGATAATCAATATCCGGACAACAAGCTGGTTATCAGCCGAAACGACGGTTCAGCCGTTGGCTTCGCTGGACATGGGGCCAAAGGAAGGAACGCTCGGATAAGTAGAACGACATACTTGTCCCGAACGTATTACTGAGGAAGGCGCCCCAAGGGGGCGGCCTCCTCCTCTCAACCTTCCTGGAAGGCAAGCATCAGAGTCTGTTTGCGATTTAACAGAAGGGGATTCCCTTATATCATCAGATAGAAGAGAGCTCCGACGCCAGGCAAAAAGGGCATGCTTCAGCCAGTGCGATCAATCAAATGCCATCAGAGATCGTATCCGTGCACTCGAGCCCGAGGGTGTCAGTTCATACGAACTACGATGAGGAGAGCCCGCCGAAAAACGTTCCCACAAGCTCAGCGGGTGGAGATCGCTACATCGAAGAACAAAAATCACAATTTGTAATGAATGGGCAGGGTGGAGAAGAAAGCGACGGGCAGTCGGAGGAAGAGGGTCTGCGTTCAATGGAGAAGAACGGGGGAGATGCTCGCTCTCAAACGTTTCCTGGACCATCGTGTCGCCCGAATCCTCGTCAGAACTCGCCTGGCGGACCCGCCTCAGGCGTAGGCCTGGCGGATGCCGAAGCAATTTTTTACGAGCCAGCCGAAGCCCTTCGTAGGGCTGTCCTTGATTCGGGCGAAGATCTCGAGGGCGAAAGGGCCCCCGGAAACGGGGGGCTAGGCCGTGGAAGAGGGGGCCCCTCGGCTCGGCCGACGGGGCACTCACGCGACGCCGCGCGCCCGGCTCGGCATGCAGGGGGGCCGACAGGTGTGGCCCCACTGCCACAGACAAAGAAAGCCAAGAGCGAAACAAATTACCTCAGCTCTCCGCCATTGCCGAAGGGATTCTATCGACAAAACCTCGCGCCGCCGAGAATGGACCACGATAGTGTACCAGAGCTTGCTGAACTCATCGCGCAGGATGAGGAGGGCGAACAAACGAATAATCCACAAGGCACTCAATGGAACGCGGGGTCGAGAATGAGGGAGAATAACACGCCGAGGTTCATAGTCGACACGGGCTGTGGACATAATCTTTTCGCAGAGAAATTTATTCAGGCTGCAGGCGCCATGGGAATGCACGTGCGATTTGATGAGTCGATCACCCGGAACACTGCCAGGGGTTCTTCAAGGCCCTTAGGTTCAGTTCACGTCGCATGCCCCAGCTTCAGGAATGGACATATGGAAGCATTGGGCATGCCGGGGGCACGGGCAGTGATCTCAGTAGGAGAGCGGTGCATGGATCACGGCTTTAGTTTCGTTTGGCCAGCAGGCCAGCGACCCTGCATATTTCCTTCCCAACGGTCATAGAGTGGACCTGATCGTTGAGGGCAAGATTCCGTGCTTGACCCTATCTGGCCGCGAGGCGCTGGGTCAGTGGAACTTGCAGTTGCTGCCGGGATGCCTGCAGCTCCTGAGCGGCGGTGTTGCGTGACGTCAGGCGCCGAGACATTTCTGGGCGATGTGGAATCTGCGGGGGGCCCTCCGCCCCAATCAATTCACAGTCGCGTAACCATAGACTTGCGCGTGCAAGAGATGATTGGTAACCGTGGCTATGCGGACGGCAGACCAGCCGTGCCCGCGAGTCCATTCCCGTCCGACGTAGACTCCATGGATATCGTCACTAATCTTTGTCATTCGCCTCATGCAGCTCGTGAGTGCAGTTGGGCTCGGAGACCCACCGTCTTCGCGGGCTTAGGTTGTTGGTCGCGCTGCGCCGCGCCGCGGCCTAGCCGGAGGCTGCGCGGCCGTGCATGAGAGCCCGTAGCTATGCGGGGTCTCGGGATTTCTGCCCCATGACATGGATCGAGGGCTTGATTCCATCGCGACTGCTGCAGCACCAGGCCAGAGGCGGGATGGAGATGGGGGCTCGGGCGGCGTTGACCTAATCGACATCAACGCGCCGCCCGACTCCGACCCAGGCGACGCAGAGGTCGACGTGTCGGTCTCAGCGACCGAGCGACTCAAGGAGCGCGGCCCCCCCCACGCATCTGCCAAGTCACACTCCGAAGAACCCTTTCTGCTCAGCGTGTAACTGGGCGAAGGCTTTAAGGCGCCGACAAGGAAAAGCGCGTGATGAATGGCTGAATGTACCTAGCCCATGCGCAAACCCCGCCACGTTCGGACACCTGACCACCGTGGATCACTGGCTTGCGATGGATGACTTATCGCGGGGGCTCCGCGATGAGACCGCGTGCGTGACTTTTCGCGACCGGGCGATTTCCTCGCGGCTCAGGGCGTGCATGATAACTCAGCGGTTCATGTGTGTAACTGTTTAATCACCCTTAGAGGTCCGGGAGAGAAGTTAGAATATTGCTGCGCTGACGGTGCGCTGCGAGGGGGCTCGCACGGGCATGCCTAGAATTACAGATAGCGCATTTTCCCACCATACCTGGGAACAAGAAACTTATGGCTGTCGCTGAACGGTCCAATGGAATAGTTCAGATGGGGGCCCGAGCCCTGTTGAATTTCTGAAGAGGGTGAGTCGTTCTGGAAGCGCAGATTCGGACGCGACTTTGCTGCTCCGCTGCTCCCCTGGGGACCCCTCGCGCGTTTCATGCCCTTCCGGA